ATATCTGTTATTACAGGCGACAAACTTACCTCTACATGAACCTGTTACTGGATCTTTAGTTTTTACAACTTAAGATGATATAAAACATGCTAGTTGACAAACTTACCTCTACATGAACCTGTTCCTGGATCTCTAGTTTTTACAACTTAAGATGATATAAAACATGCTAGTTGACAAACTTACCTCTACATGAACCTGTTCCTGGATCTCTAGTTTTTACAACTTAAGATGATATAAAACATGCTAGTTGACAAACTTACCTCTACATGAACCTGTTACTGGATCTCTAGTTTTGACAACTTAAGATGATATAAAACATGCCAGTTGACAAACTTACCTCTACATGAACCTGTCTCTGGATCTCTAGTTTTTACAACTTAAGATGATAGGAACATGCCACTTGACAAACTTACCTCTACATGAACCTGTTCCTGGATCTCTAGTTTTTACAACTTAAGATGATATAAAACATGCCAGTTGACAAACTTACCTCGACATGAACCTGTTACTGGATCTTTAGCATAACCTCTCTTACAAACACAGGTGTTTCCTTTGCCTGTGTAAACACATTCCTCTTTTGGTGGACATGGCACAGTGGATGAACAAGTGACCCATTGGACTGAAAGAAAAACATCAGCATAGAGTGATAAACCAGGTTAAAGGGGACTTCCTTACAGGTGATAAAACATCGTAACATCCATAAGTAAACATGAATGTAAGTGGAACTTGAGCTGTTTAGGGTTTATCTTGAGATTCAAACACATCTCTGTATTCTATTTTTTAAACATAATATACATGTTGAATTAATCTCGTACGTAGCTGGATTAATATTTATGGTTCATCTTTAACACTACTTTTCAAGTTTATCATCTTGGAAACACAATGAATACTTCTTGATTTTCTGACATTGGAACACAATCATGTTCTTATGGACTTTATCATATAATTATTAACAAGTGTTATTTTCAAGGAGGATTGTATGTTTCTATGAAAGTTTTTAATGTATGTCCATTTTTTTGTACAAGCTTGTCTAACACGCGAGACTTGCTCATTCATTCAAAATTAATACTACAGCTATGTAAATTAGACTTAAATCCAGTTGTAAATTTATGTCGAAGATATAATATTCAGGGATAACATAGAGCAATTAAACAATAAGTATAAAAATAAGCCAATTACAAAAAAGAGGAGTTACACTTAATATTTTTAATTTGTTGTTTGTTTCAGATATTAGTGCAAAGCTATACAAGGGTTATTTGTGCTAACCATCCTAATTTTGATCTGATAGACGAAAGGGAAGGTGGCTATTCAACCACATCCACTGGCAATTCTTGGGCTACTCTAATTGAATATTGAAATTTGACCATCACTCTTATAAGATCCCTACATCCCTAAATTGCAGAGCATAGTTCTACTGCAACAGAATGCAGATTCACAGACAGGCATACTAACCACTAGGCCACAACCAGTCCAATATGCAACATTTATTGAATAATACCTCAAATTAAACTCTCCTTTCCTATTTTACACAAAAGTTGAAAAGTTTTAAAACACTTTACCTACCAGATTGATGCTCACTTGATTATAATGATACGATCTATTAAAATAGGCCTCGCACGTTTTAGATAAATTACACTTCTCCATCCAAGCCATGTTTTAAAAAAGATTATATGGAGGATTAGACACTAATTACCGAGATAAATGGAAATACTAATTTAAAAGTATTAGATTATGTCATTCAAAACAGTTCATTATATCTATATAATTAAAAAAGTGCATCCTACAATTGCTTAAGTAACCAAAAAATATTAAGAGAGTTTAATGAACCTATACAGTATATGCATTTAAGTATTTTTCATTCCTAGACATGCTTCATTCTCACCTTCTTCAATGCAACCTCTGTAAGCATCCCCAGTAAATCCTTGAGGACAAATACACTCGTACGTCCCAGGGACATTACGACAGACGGCATCTTTGCCACAAGCTTTCTCGAGGCTAGAGCACTCATCAATGTCTGAAAACACATTCAGTGATTCCTTGTAGAAACATTATTCATATATAAATTGTAAAACAAAGCAAGTAAATTAGATTACATTAATTCATGATAATGTGCTGTTTACAAACTTCCAAGACATGTCATTAAAAAGCTTCTATGAATTAAACGGAAGGATATAGAACATTTCATATGTTATTCAATATTTCATGGCATAATGACATTATTTTAAACATGCAAGCCGAATCAGTTTTCAGTTCTAATTTTGTGTGAATCTGAAAATATGCTTAGCACTAAAAGTAACAAGTTGTATTTCAAGCAAAACCAGAAATAAATTTCAGTGCTAGATCTGTAATGCTGTGAAAACCTTATCACTTCAGTGCTAGATCTGTAATGCTGTGAAAACCTTATCACTTCAGTGCTAGATCTGTAATGCTGTGAAAACCTTATCACTTCAGTGCTAGATCTGTAATGCTGTGAAAACCTTATCACTTCAGTGCTAGATCTGTAATGCTGTGAAAACCTTATCACTTCAGTGCTAGATCTGTAATGCTGTGAAAACCTTATCACTTCAGTGCTAGATCTGTAATGATGTGAAAACCTTATCACTAAACATCATTAATGAATTGAAAACTGAGTCTCAATGGACTGAGAATAAGTTTTAACGTCATTAGCTTTTGTTAAAAAATACTTTTAACTTCTAAATGTCCATTACAATAAGCAAATATTACACAAATTAGGCTTAAATAAAACTTTGTTTTTGGCACATGTGGTTAATGAATTAGTTTTCTGTTTGAAAAGCAGGGGTTAACTTAACCCTTACTCAGTATTCTATACGACATACTTACCAAAAGCAGAGGTTAACTTAACCCTTACTCAGTATTCTATATGACATACTTACCAAAAGCAGGGGTTAACTTAACCCTTACTCAGTATTCTATACGAAATACTTACCAAAAGCAGGGGTTAACTTAACCCTTACTCAGTATTCTATACGACATGACTTACCAAATGCAGGGGTTAACTTAACCCTTACTCAGTATTCTATATGACATACTTACCAACACATCCTGGTAAGCTGTTACTACGGCCAGTATATCCAGGAGAACATACACACAGAGGATTGCCAGACACGTCCAGCTGACATTTAGCATTATCAACACAGAAAATGGTATCACAAGGATCTGTAAATACAAAGAACAACACCTTTTAATCAATGAAACTGTTTCATAGAATATTCATCATCTCAATATGTGCACATCTATTCTCTACTGGTGGTACACTTGCACATTTTAATGATTTAACTTGATTAATATCATTTTTCTTTCAATAAAGCAGGAAAACAAATCAATTTTTAAAACAGAGGACTGGGACATGGGTGGAGTGACCCAATTGTCCTCTATATACAAAATACACTTTTAATTACTTTAAATTAAATAAAAATTTCAATCTGCACAAATATCTAAATGTAATGAATCTTCTATAAATATGTCTGTTTCTATTTTTAGACAACACTAAGTTGAACTCTAGTCATATTCCACCCTGTGAGTTGAATTCTGGTCATATGCCACCCAGTGAGTTGAACTCTGGTCATATACCACACAGTTAGCTGAACTCCGGTCATATACCACCCAGTTAGCTGAACTCCGGTCATATACCACCCAGTTAGCTGAACTCGGTCATATGCCACCCTGTGAGCTGAACTCGGTCATATGCCACCCAGTGAGTTGAACTCTGGTCATATAACACCCAGTTAGCTGAACTCTAGTCATATGCCACCCAGTGAGCTGAACTCTAGTCATATGCCATCCAGTTAGCTGAACTCTGGTCATATACCACCCAGTTAGCTGAACTCTAGTCATATACCACCAAAATTATACAGTACATTTTTTACAGTTAAAAGTCACAAATATCTGTGAATAGAAGTGAATTATCCATTTAGTTCTGTGATAAAATCTATCTTATTTATCAGCCTAAAATGAAATAATAATTGTTTATAGTTTCCAAATTAAATCTAAGAGTTGGAATAATTTTAATCAAATCTTGAATCTTGAATCTTGTTTTACTTACGTTTACAATAATCCCCAAAATTAGGCTCAGGACAATAGCACTGTTTGTTTCTACAAATGGCATTTCCTTTACAGTCACTGTCTTGGTGACAATCGTACAAGGTGTTACCTGTAATAACAGATATGTTTTACTGAAACTATGATTAATAACACAAGGTGTTGCCTGTAATAACAGATATGTTTTACTGTAACTATGATTAAGAACACAAGGTGTTACCTGTAATAACAGGTATGTTTTACTGTAACTATAGTTAAGAACATGAGGTGTTACCTATAATAACAGATATGTTTTACTGTAACTATAGTTAAAAACACAAGGTTTTAACTAGCATTTTGTATATCATCTTAAGTTGTAAAAACTAAAGATCCAGTAACTGGTTAATGTAGAGGTACGTTTGTCAACTGGCATGTTCCTATCATCTTAAGTTGTAAAAACTAGAGATCCAGGGACAGGTTCATGTAGAGGTAAGTTTGTCAACTGGCATGTTTTATATCATCTTAAGTTGTAAAAAAATAGCTTAGAGCTATAGAACTGAGTTATTGTTGCTTGTGGGCCAAATTATATTTTGTATTTCCATATTACTTGATAATGTATTGAGTGTAGTTTTCCTGAGGTAAAAATATCTATTGCTTGTGTTCCAGTTGTGTGTTGTTATAACCTTCTTTTTATAAAATAACTATAATTTTCAGCCTGAAGTCATATTTAGATACCGTGTTTCTCTGATTTTCTCCTGAAAATAAATCTCTCAAATCTTGTTTGGGAAGTTATATAAATTATTTTTTAAGGAAAGGTTATATTCCAACTACTGATAATTTATATAACTTATTTTTTAAGGAAAGGTTATATTCCTGATGCTACCAAAAAGCCACTGGTGTAATTATTCAACCCATGTGGGTTTAAAGCGACTGATGCTACCAGAAAGCCACTGGTATAATTTCGTATACTTCCATGCTTTACATATTTTGGGTTCTCTAAAAAAACACAACATGATAAATGCTTGAACTCTGAACTTACCTTCTGGATGACATACTGAATATGGCTTTCCAATGTAACCGGGCTGGCAATGACATACGTAGCTTCCCTCGAGGTTCATACAAAAAGCATTAACACCACATGGAGGCTTCTCTCGGTATTCCGTACACTCGTTGATGTCTGCACACAGATAAAAGCATGTGTCTTTAAATAACTTTCAACTCTACGTGCAACAACCAGATCTCCACATTTATCAATCAATAAACATGTTGCATAAACTGGCTAATCCTTTACATAAGACTCTGATTTGGCAAAATGACTTTTTAATCAAAGTTCTTTTAAAAAAATATAAAATCAAACATCATACATAGTTTATAGAACTTCTCAAGCTAATGTTTTTAAAAAAAGGTTATATTATAATTTATACAACTTATCAAACTACTGTTTATAAGGAAAGGTTATATTATAATTTATACAACTTCTCAAACTACTGTTTATAAGGAAAGGTTATATTATAATTTATATAACTTATCCAACTATTGTTTTTAAGGAAAGGTTATATTATAATTTATATAACTTATCCAACTACCGCAGTTTAAACCCATATGGGTTGAATAATTACACCAGTGGCTTTCTGGTAGCATCAGTCACTTTAAACCCATATGGGTTGGATAATTACATCAGTGGCTTTCTGGTAGCATCAGTCACTTTAAACCCACATGGGTTGGATAATTATACCAGTGGCTTTCTGGTAGCATCAGTAACTTTAAACCCACATGGGTTGGATAATTATACCAGTGGCTTTCTGGTAGCATCAGTAACTTTAAACCCACATGGGTTGGATAATTATACCAGTGGCTTTCTGGT